GTTTCCTTACTCCACACAGAGCCTAATAATAATCCCTCCAAAACAAAAAACAATAATAAATTGGTCATTTTCAATCTAAGACTGTTTGTAGGACATTGCTGTGCGCAATTGACTGCCGCGTTCGCCCACAAATATACAGTCTATTCACTTTACAGTGTGTTCTGTGAAGCGCTTTGGGATGTCCTCCCGACGTGAAAAGCGCTATATCAAATGCAAGGATTATTATTATTATTAAAACATGCTAAACATTTTTTTTCTAAATCATAATGCAGCCTTCCAGAAGGCAATCCCTAATAATTAGGGAGGACTCAAGTGATTTGGACCCATTCTTTTCTGAATTCTTAAATAAACTGGGTGGACAACAGATGGTCATGGTCTACAAGGATCAATTAAACTTCATCCATAATACAGTCTTCTTGGACAGATTATTCAATGAAGGGAAAACAGAATCTATTGAATGGAACAGACATGTCTGTTTCCCTTTTTGTACCTTTTAACTCTGTTAGATCAGTTTAGGATTTGCATATCCCCCAAGCCTAGCTCCATTAATGCAAAAAAAAACTTGCGCAACACATCTGTGTTCACAAATTTAAGCCTATTATTCCTTTTAATACAGAATAAGCCTGATGGCATTTGTCCAATATTGTGCTGCCAAGATTTTGTGTGCCCTGTGTTAGCCATTACGGTGAAGCTAAGTAAAAAATTCCCATTTTCCTTCTGGTCATAGGAAGAGATTTAACTTGAAGGACATTTCCATGCTTGTACAAAGCATTTGCTTGGTCATCTATTCCAATCCTTTGGAACAGTTAATTTGGGTGCCCTAGTCGCTTCATAGTACTATCTAAGAACATTATGACATAGAATGCACTTTAANTTTTTTTAATAAATTAGAAAAAAAGCAAATGCAAGTCATAACGTAATTGAATTCACAATGGATGAAAACTTCTTGAAGCTTTAGAGTGGAACCAGAAGATTGCAAGTTGCATTATTCTAGCTAATGGTGATCGTTTTTTTTAATTGATATTGACTGATAAATTAAAATATTTCATTCACTATGTTTAGTTAGTGGAACAGACATGTTATATCAAGTTCATGCAGGATGATATAAAGTCATCAGGATGTGACTGCCTCATTCTATAACATGGAAACAGCTGATATGAATCCTCAGATATTGATAAGATTGATTCAAAAATATACTTCAAAACAGGATGATAATCTAAAATAACCTTCAAGTTCTGAAACGTTCTTTAATATTAACGTTATGTTTTTTCCAACATTATATCTTATTTCTTGCACCCAAGAATGTACAATTTAGCCAATGTACAATATACATCATTAACTGTTCTTTATTTATAGGACTCCAATCACACTAAGTAGTACATGAATTTGTCATGATGCTATTTTTTTACTTTCATATTTGATGTAAAAGCTCCAAATCATATTTTTTTCCTGCATGAAACAAATTGATACAATAGTTGCCTTTTATATTCCGATCTTATTTATAATCCTTGCATTTGATATAGCGCCTGATCACTTGGTCAAGACAACTCAAAGCGCTTCACAGATTTCACTGTAAAACAGAGTGATTGTGTATTTTGAAGGCGAACATGGCAGCCAATTTGCACCCAACAATGTCTCATGAATGGATATGAAATGATTGAATTGAATCTTGGCAAGAAAATACTTCACAGGAGCCGTGTATAATGGTGTGAGTGGGAATTGGTTTTAACACACAGAACTTCTGTCAGACAGAATTGAGAAAGGAGCACTTTGATTCATTGGAATACTTTCCAATAAACTGAGTGGGAAGGGGGGTTGGTATCCTTGCTGCAAATGCTGCTTTCTGGACTCCAAATAAAACTTGAGTGTGACAAATGGGGTGTAATATGGATTATTTCCAATGGGAATTCCTTCATTTGAATGAATGATAACCAGAGAGCATAATGCACTTCATGGCAGAGCATGGCAGCTCTGCCCCAAAAGTAGATTGCATTGGAGCCAAGTTCCTGTGAGTTGCACAATCTAAATCCAGTTTCCTTATTAAGGAGTCCTATTCGAAATTGCTGCATATTACATCCAGCTTTAGGATGCGTGGACAGGGCTGGAATCTTGAGAGAGATCGCAGCATCGGGATAATTCAATAATATTTATAAATATTTAGCACTCCAGCATTCTTACCCCTCAGAAACTATTATGAAAATCTTATAGTGAAAGGAAAGATGGTTTTGCAGAAACAAAAGGCATTTATTATAAAGGTTTGATGAGGATGTAAAGGAGGAAATCTTGCAGCATCGTACTGGTGAGAAGTGAGGAATTACCAGATTTGCTAGGTTTGATCTGGCATCAGTAAGAATAATGAAGAGGGAGAATTTGAAGTAGTAGCAGCAAGCAATTTTGTCAGTGTTCCTTCCAAAATGTAATTTAACAGACTTTGTGGAATGATTTAGTGAGTAAAAACACAGTTTAATACTGCACTAAGCCATATAGCTACACTAAGCCATTGTAGTCTGCACTGGGTTATTGGTCTTGCCTAAAGCACTAGCTGGGGTACTACAATTGACATCACCATTCCTAGGATAGAGAGGAGGAAAAGTCAACCAGACAGGAGGAAAGGGAAAAACAGATGGACATTGTATAACAGTATAACAGAAGAAGAATGTTAACTACAAATGCATCCTGGAGGCGCAGAACAACCCCAGGCTTCTGTTTTCTACCACATCCCGACTCCTCAGTCCCCCCCGCCACCCCGCGCAGGTCATCTCCTCCAACCTTCACTGTGAGGAGATGCTGGATTTCCTTGAATCCAAAATCAAGGGAATCCGCTCCGCGGTCACTTCCCCTCCAACCTCCACCCACCCCCCATCACGTCTCTCCCACACTCCGATTCCTACCCATCCTCCCTTACACACTTTTGTACCCGTTTCCCCACCCTCTGTCACCAAACTCATCCTATCCCTGAAGCCCACCACCTGCTCCCTTGACCCCATCCCCACTCCACTCCTTATCTCCCAGCTCCATATCCTTGCCCCACATATCACAGACATCGTCAACCTGTCCTTCTCCTCTGGCTCTGTTCCCATTCCCTTAAAAACTGCCACCGTCATTCCCACCTTGAAAAAACCCTCCATTGATGCGTCTCAATGCATCTCCAACCTCCCCTTCCTGTCCAAGGTCCTTGAAAGAGTTGTCGCCTCCCAGCTGCGCTCTTTCCCCTCCACCCATTCATTATTCAAACCCCTTCAGTCGGGTTTCCATGCTGCCCATAGCACAGAAACTGCCCTGGTCAAGGTCACCAATGACATCCTGACCATCTGCGACCAGGGCTCCCTCTGCCTCCTCGTCCTCCTCGACCTATCGGCAGCATTCGATACGGTCGACTACGCTATCCTCCCCCACCGCTTGTCCTCCCACCTCAACCTTCAAGGCCCTGTCCTTGAGTGGTTTAGGTCGTACCTCTCCCACCGTCTTCACTTTGTTTCCACGAACGGCTTTCCCTCCAGCCCCCGCACTGTCTCGTGCGGTGTCCCTCAAGGCTCTGTCCTCGGTCCCTTCCTCTTCACCCTCTATATGCTCCCCCTTGGCGACATCATCCGCAGACATGGGGTTAACTTCCACATGTATGCGGATGACACCCAACTCTACCTTTCCTCCTCTACCCTCAACTCCACGACCACCGATGCCCTGACAGCCTGCCTGTCTGACGTTGAGTCCTGGACGAGAGACAACTTTCTTCAGCTCAACGTGCGTAAAACTGAGGCCCTCCTGATTGGCTCACGTTAGCGCCTCCGCACCTCTGGCGCTGAGAGCATCAACATCCAAGGCTGCACTCTCCACCTCTCAAAGCCAGTCAGGAACCTCGGTGTTCTGTTCGACCCTGAGCTGTCCTTTCTCTCTCATATCCACGCCTTCCATCACCTCTGGAACATCGCCAGACTACGCCACTGCCTCACCCCTCACGCTGCTTAAACTCTGGTCCACGCCTTTATCACCTCAAGACTGGACTATGGGTACTCTCTCCTCGCCGGCCTTCCCGGCACCTCTCTCCACAAGCTGCAGGTCATTCAGAACTCTGCAGCTCGTGTACTGTCCCGCACCAGGCTTCGTGACCACATCACTCCCACCCTCGCTCGCCTCCACTGGCTTCCCATCCCCCAGAGGATCAAATTCAAGATCCTCATCCTCACCTACAAGGCCATTTACGGCCTTGCTCCCTCCTACCTCTCTGACCTACTATCCCCCTACTTATCTGCCCGTACCCTCCGTTCCTCTGGCTTCGGTCTGCTCCACATCCCCCGCCCCAACCGCCCTACCATTGGTGGCCAGGCCTTCAGCCTCTCAGCCCCTAGGCTCTGGAACTCTATCCCCCAGTGCCTTCGCTGCTTCCTCCCTTTCCTCCTTCAAGGCCGGTCTCAAGACCTTTCTCTTTGACCGTGCCTTCAGCTCCCCTCTCGACTCTCTACCCCCTCCTCGCTCCCTCCCTTCCCTCCCCTCACCCTGACCATTTCTCCCTTGCTCGGGTCCTGACTCAACTGTACAGCGCCTTGGGACGTCCTCCTGATGTGAAAGGCGCTCTATAAATGGAATGTTGTTGTTGTTGTTAGTTAGGAATCGAACACAGGATTCAACTGGTAAGTGAACTCATGGGAGCACTTTTTGCATTATTGCTCATCAAATGTTTGCTATTTTGTATTGATTTGCAATGATGTCTTGTAAGATATAAATGTGCTGTGAATGGTGCTACCGTTATATAGATTAGTGCTGGTCAGGATAGGGTTTGGGATGGTCAAAAAGAACATGCAAATTATGAATTAGTACCATCAGAAGATGCAAATGCGGTGCCATCGTTCACATAACCCGTCCACATCAACACAAAACAGTGACATCTGAATATTAGGTATTCCTTCCTTTGACTGGAGTCTTACTGTTACAAAAGGATTGACTAGTAACAACCGACTTCATACAATGCACGCATGTGTGATTGTGTTTTGTTCTCATTGTAGATGGATGAGATAAAATTAAAAGACAGAGCAGTCTACGTGCTGGAAAAAGAGCTGGGGGTTCAGGCTGGGCATTCTCAGAGACTCCAGCTCCAAAAAGAGGCTTTAGATGAACAACTTACCCAGGTCAAAGAGGCTGAAGCGTGGGAAAAACGACATCTGAGTAGCCCGAAAAGGGAACTTCCTTGCGCAAGTGGTGCAGGAGACGCCTCAGATCATTCAGGAAGCCCTGTAAGCACTTTCACACGGTCTGTTCAACAAATTCTGTAACAAAATCTTGATGAGGGGCATTTTGATGCATTCTGCTTTACTCTTTAATACTTATGCAATATTATCACACTAAAGCATTTTTGAATACAACTTTTTTTAGAAAAATATATTTACATTGTAGCCAAATGTGTTCTGTTTCAATAAAGAAGTAATTTTGTGACTTAAGCATTTACCGAAAATATCTATTGGATTTATAGTTGCCATAGATTATATAGTAAGGTTGAGGCTATTTCTAATACTTGTTTTTTGAGGACACTGACTTTTCAAATAGTTTACTTGTTCTTCTGATAAACTCAAATACATGAAAGGCTCACTGCCCTGGTTAAACACGTGGGAAAGATGTGTACTGAATTTAGGTGCATATCGTCCAGGCCCCAGGTTTGCTTAAATGTCTTTCACCGACTAACATCTAAAATAGTCAAGGGAATCTAGTCCTAGACAGCAATGTTAGTCCACCAAGTTTGCGAGATTCTGTAGTTATTAAAACATTAGCAATAAACCATTGGCAGTATTTTAATAGTTTTCTGCTGGGATTATATGTAACTATGTCACTTTGATGCTTCTCTCTTAATTTGCTAATAGCACAAACTGCTGCTTAATTATAAAACAGATCTCATGTTTTAAGCATATGTTATTAACCTTTCCCATTGTTGACTCTCATCAAGATTCTTTTTGCACTAGTTCTTGGTTTTCTTAGCACATGGAATGAAAAGTCCTGGAAGCACAGTGTACTTTTTCTATGATGCAAAAGCCTCTCCTGCACCTGTTGAATGAGGAATCTGTGCACTTTCTAAATAGGTTTTCCAGTTTGCAAAGTCATTCATCGGCATGTTCTCAGTAGCGTTTTCCTTCTTAGTGTGCTGCAGTGTCTAATTAATAGCAATATAGCAAACAATTGGCATTTGAGTGCACCTATTCAAACAAGCACTGTGAATTACAATAAACAACAAAGTCCACTGGTTCATTGGTGAAGCAGTGAATTGCTCTTCCAATACACATACTTTATTTCAATATTTTCTTTCTGTTGTTGTAGAGAAAGTATTAAAAGTGTTATTTTGTTCACTCGATGGTCTAGTGGTAAAGGCACTGTGTTGTTTAGCACTAAGCCATGCAGGAGCAGAGGATGGGAGTAAATTGGCCAAAGACAATTATTTTGTAACATTAACTCAAATTTGTTCAAACCCCATATTGTCTGCAGTTTCTCTACATTTATGTTCTTTATAAATGTAACCGCATAATTAGTTCACTTCAACCCTATAATTTCACATATTGAGCATTTCATTTGAATAAATAAGTGAACTGAAATAAGTTTGTCTGTAGAAATCACTGAACATTGCCAAAGCTAAGATTATGTTTCTGTGTATGTGTGATTTATGCATTGTCTTTCTATGTCTCATGTGTTCATTGTTCATTCTGCCACATAAGGGCATAGTTTACATTTTACAGTAGAGGGGAAAATAAATTCTATTATTTTGGCAAACTCTTCAGTCTCTTTGATCTTGGTCCAGCAGAGAGACATATTTACACTGATGTCCAGTTATCTGCAGTTGATCTTTGTTTTAGGAACAGCAGCTTGATGAAAAAGACACACGTCGATTCCAGCTTAAAATCGCTGAATTAAGTGCAATCATCAGGAAGTTAGAGGATCGTAATTCATTGCTGTCCGAGGAAAGAAATGAACTTGTAAGTAATGCTGATCTTTTCACGTGTTTATCGTTTTGTCCTGATGGATGCATCTTCTTTACTGAAGTATTTACAAATAAAATTTTTTGTTAATCAGGTGGTTCTATTACAGAAAGTCTAATGATACTGTATTTGTACCAGGATTAGCATCAACAGAGGCAGAAACAGTAACCATAACTCTTATATGAAGAATGTTAAGAAGTTTTACAAACTGTGTATATTATATATGCACAATAAAATCGTTCTGACATTTCCTCAACTCTGTAGAAGTTTATGAATTCTGCATCCAAAGCACTTTTAAGTAGCTATAAAGCACTTAGCTTGCAATGTGATGAAACCCTAAAGGAATATTTCTATTGCAACCTATCCTGTATTTCATTTTTATGAGGGTGGACCTGCATAAAAGGATTTCAGAATATTTTGTTCACATTTTATTTCCTTATACAAATATGAGTTGGGCAGCAGAACAAATTCTGTCACATAAATGATGCAAATGGACCTTTTGTTTTCCTCCTCCTGTGCTTTACAATGTATGTAATGCAACAACCACCACCTTGTACCAATCTTTTCAAAAGTATGCTTGAATAAGAAATGAAAGTAAAGTAGTAGGCATTATAATGATATAATAATAATCCTTGTATTTGATATAGACCCGTAATAGGTCTTCGAGACATCCCAAAGCACTTCACAGCACTGTAGATACACAGAATATACTATAAAGCAAATTGACTGAATATTTTATGGGCGTAACGTGGCAGACAATTGCGCACAGCAGTGTCCCACAAACAGTCGTGGACTGAAATGACCAATTTATTATCTTTTTTGAAGGATTTATTATTCCCAGAAAAGCAATCCAGCAATTGACTATCCACCTCGGTAAACAGGCATGTGGAGTACAGAAACTCACCCAACATTTCACTCTGCTGGGAATCGAATCCAGTTCTCTCGCTTGCGAGTGCTCTAAACACTGAGCTACATGACTCCACAATATATATAGTATTATATAGTACTAACTATACCCGTTGCAGTTATGATTGCAACCAGAGGAATCCAATATGGAATGTAGATTTCAGTGATACCACTCACAAACCATTTAATATGCCATAAACACTGTTTGTACACCTTAAGCCAAACGGCCATACATGTGTGATGAGGTCGTAGCTCATCAATGATAGGAGATCCCCCATCAAAAAATATGCCCATGACACTCCCCCTTGCAAGACCTTTCCGATGAGGTATATATGAGGTATATAATGTCAATCGGTTATTGCATTATTGGCGGACAGACACATGTGCGATGCATGAACTGTGCTGGGATCTCTCTCTCTCTCGGCTCCTGGTGCTTAGTCAGTCTGAGCAGGGCTCAGGCTTCATTATAACCCTCTCTCCTACTCCTTCCCTCCTGACACACTCACTCACACACACACACCTTCATATAACCTTTTCCCTTTCCATGCTCCCTCCCTAAAAAAAACCCTCTCTCACCTCCATCCTCGAGAGATTCTGGAGCTCAGCATATTTTTTTTTGGTGGGGGGGGCAAAGAGAGATTTAATTTAAAAAATGTAGCATTGAGTTTGTTTCACCACTCTCTTCCCTCCTTTCTGACCCTCTCCCAATATATCGCTCCAGAAGGCTGTGTGATTTCCTCTGTCACTGCTTTGTTGCAGAATACCATGAATACCTCATATTTTGGGGCTTAATTAAAGCATTTGTTAACAATAGGAGTGTTTTGTTAGCCTTTCACTCTCATGTCCGGCTTGGAAAGAACATAGATATACTTAAATAGGTTATGCCAAGAGTTATTTGCAACGTATTGTCAACTTCCAGGACCTATTGGGTAAAAGCTAACAATTCACTCTCATCTACTAACTTATGGCCTTATGTACAGCTCACTAATACATGTCCATTTTCACTTGTACACCTGTTTCTGTTGGGAGATGATATCTGAAACCATGCAAGCTGTGGTGATTGTGTCAGAAACAAATTTTCACTTATCTAATATCTGCACTAAGTACAATATATCTGTATAAAATGTTTTATCTCACAGCATCCATCTCCAAAAAAAACATGGACTGTTCCCATAGAATACCTATATCAGTAATCATGGACTAATCTCTCCTTTCACATAGTATATCCAGTTTAAATTGGGTTCCTTTACCATCAACACCAACATAATAGCATTGTATATTAGGATAATAGTACACTAAAATTTTATTTTGAACACATAGTCAGACAGCACATCAGCAAATGTGCTGATTTGATGGATTTACAAATTAATTAGTTGCAGACTTCAGATAACGGTAGAAAATAAATTTTAAAGATAAACACCATTCTCATTGTAAGCCTTTCTATCATCTGCTGCCTTTTGTATGGTTAATGGGCTATGCCTTTTTTAATGATTAAAGATATTTTCCCATTTTTAGTTTCCATTTTTTCACATCCTCCTTTCCTAAAAACATCTGATTTCTTTTTCCTCCTAATGGGAGATTTCCATGGGTGCTAGGCAGTATCCCGTACCTGAACCAAGTTGCCATGTTTGAGCCTTGACAGTGAATGTCAGCAGATTATTTAACCATGTAAGCATCACAACTAAGCCACAACTTCACCCAATATTCACATTAGTGCACCTTATGTTATATTTTATATTGTGTTTTGCGATATTCCTGCTCACATTCATCTTATTACAATGTATGAAGCTCTAGAGCCCCATGGGCTAATTTATAACCAGGGCAGAAAATACAAACCTCCAAAACAACAATGCTGATATCTGTAGAATTAATAGACTATTTCATTGCTAACAGAATTATACTCTCACTTAAAGCTTCACTGGTGAGTTGATAGTGTTCGACATTCATCTTGTAACACTGCAATAAACCACAAAACACATTTACTTATAATGTTAATCCAGAAGGTTTCATTCATTCAGACACTAAAACCAAATTAGTTGGACGATCACACAATGTATTTTCCAAGGATTATGACAATTTACATCATGTTGCTTCAAGTGCAATCATAGCAATAAATGACTATCTATAATATTAGTTAGTCACACTTCACTTTATAAATCCCATGAAAATTCAGCCAAATTATTTATATATGCTGGTATTTAATTATATTGGTTTAGCTATTCTTAAGTTATCCTGAAGCATTTTCTGCAAAACTCATTTTAAAGCGACAGGGGCATGTATATAACGGACGTGCTAGAACAGATTGCAGGGAAGGAAGGAGGATAAGGGGAGAGAGAATGCCAAATGGTTAAGCAGCTGATGCTCCATTTTCTTGTCAATTTCCTTGTAATCGACATATTGTATGCATTGTATATAGAATTGAGTACAATAGTAGAAAATGGTTCAATAGCAACAACAAATTCATTGCTACTGCCAATCCCGTCACCAGAATGCTGTGCAAGTGATTGATTAAACGCAATTCAGCTTGTTAAGGCCTGTTGAAACCCATTAAGTAGTAATAGGGGCAATTCTGCACATTGTTTAAGCCTTTGACAAGTGAGTTTAAATAATGTAGAGTTGGAAGAATGCCAGTGTTCCAGATGAGAATGCTATTGTTTAGCTTTGATCTCTGTTCTTTCCCTGGCTGATATACAGGCCCTTTTGTAGTCTGTTTGGCATAAACTATGAGGTCATTGAAAAATGCTAGAAATTGAATATTTCACCTAATTTCTGTTATCATTTTATTTAAACCTGGCATACTTACAAACTGTCAGGCAAAATTGAGCAAAATTGAACATCAAAGGGGTTTTGTTGTTGTTGTTTAATAAAAATGTGGGAAGAAGTTAGAAAAATGAACTTTACCCATGCTTATCATACAGAACATAGAATAGACTTCCAAACAGAATCTTAAATAAAGTGGATTTAGATTCCTAGTACTTAGTTCAGAAATATGGTGAACTAAGAAATGAGGAAATTAGTACTGCAAATCACTGTTTAATCTGATCTTTCTTAAGGCATTGTAATCACATTACTCTCTTTACATTATATTACATTCCTAATTTAAAATTATACTGAGTAAAAATGACCTCAGAAGTAAATGATACAAGGGGTTACGTTTATCCTAAAATTTGATTGGATGAAGATCACCTGCCCTACCATCTTCACATCACAGCATCAAACAATTTTTTTTAAGAATCCAGTTTGCTGGCCTCAACAGCCCTTTGTGGCAACCAGTCATTAATTGCTGTTTGAGTAAAGAAAAAATTCCCAGTGTCTGTCCTAAAATTGCCCTTTACAACTCTAAATCTCTTGATCTACTGTCTTGGTGCATCCTAAAGCACTGTTCTTGGTTTATTTTATCAATTCTGTTTAATATGTGATGTACTTCTATAAGGTCCCCTCTGAGATGGCTCCTTTCAGGAATAAGAGATCTAGTTTGTCTAATCATTGTTTGTAGCTCATTCCTTTAAACCTGAAGCACTGCTGTACTTGATACTGAGACTAAGCATTATAATTAAAGATTTAGGCCATTTTATAAGGTAACATCAAAATTGTCATTTACTTAAACATGAATCAGGCTTGAAAAGTTACCCTTAGCACAGAGAAATAAGAGTTAAATGTGTTATTACCTCTATCTTTCCATGTCAGGAGACTTTTATCTAGGATCACCATAGTGTGAAAGGTTGGCTCAGTTACTTTCAATTCTACATTTCTGTTTTTAGCTCAAGCGCTTGCGTGAAGCCGAGAGTCAGTATAAACCACTCTTGGACAAAAACAGACGCCTCAGCAGGAAGAACGAAGAAATGAGCCACTCGCTACGGCGGTTGCAGAACAAACTCAAATTTCTTACACAAGAAAACATAAAAATGGTATGTGGCCACAGAAACACTTCCATTGTATATTTCAGCAATTAAGCTAAGCAGCAATGCTGGGATTTTGCAGCAATGCTGGGATTTTGCAGCAGATATATAGTGCTGGCTACCTACTATGCGGACAAAAAGGGAGAAAGAGTAGGTGAGTATGATTACTTTCCTGTGCCTGATTATTCTTTTACTAGTCAATGGTGACGAGTCAAATTAAAATAGCCCTCATTTTTTCTACCACTGATTATTTTTCTTTTTGCAAATCTTTTCTGCTCTAGAACACAGCTGCAATCTCATCCAGCCCTATTCTCCTGCCTGTGCTCTTCTCTTCTAACTCTGGTCTGTGCCTCATTTCTCCCTTTCTCCTTCCCTCGATCAGTGACTGAGCCTCGATTCACTTTGCCCCCACTCTCTACCAAAATCCCTTCACCTTGGGTTCTCTCTCCCCACCTTCAAATTCCTATTAAAACCTTTTGTTGAACTAGGCTTTGGACAACACACTTAAATTTCCTCCCCCTTTCCTCCTTGCTTGAGGGTCCCCGCTCTCTATGTAGTTGTTAACAGGGGTGATTGCTGAATGGAGGTGGTTGCTTGAACAGGTTTGATTGTATTATGGGCTTTGGTTTGCCCATTGTCAATGGAACTAAGATACAACAAATAATGGCACAAATATTCAATCGCTACGCAAATTTAGTTATATTTTGTTATAGAAAAAATCTAGCTACTAATTAATAATTTCTATTTGAAATTTAATTACAATTTCTGTTATCTCTGTGAGCATAACAAATATTCTTTAGGTGTTTAAGCAAGATTGTAATCAATATATACTAAGTTATTGTTGGAAATCTGGTGATAGTACATGTCTCTACTTTCACATTCCTCCCATGATATTGTTACACAGGCAGTGTAACAGGAATTATAAGCAAGTAGTGTAGATTGTACATGAATCAATGTCTTGGTATCCAAGTGAAAGATTTGCATTATAACTGTAGTGATGATGAATAAGTTACTTATTAATAACTAGCCAGCAGAAGGTAAGAGTTGGCTATAAATAACTTCACTGTAACTAACATTAGCATGTGCATTTAACTAATGTAAGTGATTCCAGACTCATTGCTGTCATGACAATTATCACTCTTGAAATCGACTGTGTGGTTTTATGTGTCAAAAGGAAAATTCAAGAATAATTGAACAAGTGGAAGTATCCTTCATCACTTATTGATAAGAGCGACGATCAAGAAGTTTATAAATGAAATCTGAATTCCAACTATTTTTGTAGTCTTGAAATCACGTGATAGTGTTCAGCATTTTTATTACATTTTGCTTTCAACTTATTTTGATGCTGGCAGTGGCTTCCTTAGCATCCCCGCACCCGATTGTTAATGTTTGGTACCAAGAGAGGATTAATGATATGGAGGCAAATACTGCATGTTTATTGAGAAGCAATACACCCTTCATTGATACTAATTTTTTCCCATTTTGGGCATGGTTAGTGGAACATAATTTATAGATAAAAATGTTGCCATGTTGTATGTTGTCTGTGGAACATTATTTAAACAGAATTTGACAAAGTAACATGTAAAAGGCATGTTTGATTTTTTTAAAAAAGCTACAATCAATGCAGAACCAGGAAAATATATATATTATTCCTTAAAGCTGTAACCTTCTCTCTACTTTTTTGATTAAATTTTGAAAAAAAATTGACAAACGCTTATACAGGATGGAACATTTTCCCTTTTTGGAGTTGAATGAAATGTGTGCTATTTATATAGCAACTGTGCATCTCTGAAAATGGTGGAGAAATAATGCCAGCCCTTCCATCACTAACATTGCTTGTCCTGTTCTCAAATATCTGTTCCTTCATTAGGCTGACAATTTATCCTGTTTACAGCATAGATTTACAGGAGCTGATGCTAAGACATACAGGAGACAAACAGTACGACATGTGAGTGAATTCCCATGTTTTACTTTGTGTATGCTGTAGGACTGACGTAGTTTGATTGTCAACCGAAAGAACATTTTATAATGAATCAAATTCATATACATGCCCTTTGTGCTCACTGGTGCATTAATTTGAAACATTTGACTTTGTCCAAAACCTATGAGACCCAAACCTCCACCTGATCTTAGTTTTTAAAACCATTTTGCCGTAAAATTTAAAATCATGCAGTCACCCAGCAACCAACTGAAGATTGAAGTTAAGAATTTTCCACAATTTTGTGCCATCTTAAATTTTCAGGCTGACTGAGTGAAATTTCAGGCCTCTGTTTTATTATCAAATCTATCATTTTTATGTGGCTACAGACTGANTTTTTTCTGACACGGGTATTTGGATTGAAGCAATAGCCTTAAATAATGCAGCACAAACAACAAATCTCAAAGGCAAAACATTTCTTTTTCTTTTTTGCAGTCTTTTTAATTGGATAATTTGGGGTCAGATAATTGCAATTTTTCTTTTCATTTCACGCACTGTAAATGCTCCACGTTAGAGTGGAGGATTGTGCTGATCAGCAGTTGCATCAGGTATGCTGCATTATCATCAACAAAATAGCTTCTACCCCATCACAAAGAACTTTGCACAATAAATGCACCCTGGCAAATGATGTGAGCAGCAGTAGTGAAATTGTTTGTTTCTCACTAGCTCAGTAAATTCAAAACTTTAGTCCTGCCTAATTTTCACGGGTCATTGAAGCCATTTAACGGCACATTACCTATGAATATGGGCTAATCTTTTTTATGCCTTGAATACCGAGACTCACATAAAAATAAAGCTGATTTTCACTCAAATAATTGGAGAACAGTAACCCTTTTTAAAATCCTTTGTGTGAATCCAGAAATTTAAATTAAATTGCCTTTAAGTAGATTTGACTGTAAATCAAACGTCAGATTTGAACTGGTTATTCCAGTATCTGGTCTTCCAAAATTTATATATAGCAGTTCACTTGCCATATTTCCAACTGTTACAACCCAAGACATTTTGGATTTGTTTCAAACAAAAGATTTCAATTTTTAAACCAGAATTTAAAACACATTAAAATAAAATTAAGGCAAAATCTCCAAGGAAAATGCATTTAAAAAAATCCAATCCGTTCTTCTGGCAATGCTCAAAGTTGAATGCAGTTGAAAAATAAATCAGTTTTTCTTACTGAAACCCATTTATAATTTTGGAAACGCTCATTAGCAGGACACATTCTTAACCCTGTTCACAGCGGTCACAGATCCATAATAAAAACTGTCCATAATTCATCACAGATTAGCACTAAATAGGGGAATTCAACCATACTGGCTATTAGGAAGGAAACTGGCCAATTATAATAATTTGCCCAACACCATCATCTTGTACTTCCTATTTAAATAATGTTCCTGTTGTGTTGTGGCATGCAGTACCTTGAAACAATCTAGTTTTCAAGTGACTCCATCCTTCCGTTTCTTACATGGGTTCCTGGGGTAGACCAAAAACTGAGCACATCCTGGTAGTGTATTTTCTTTATAGACCTTTCAGTAGGATTTGGTTTATGAATAAGTCACACATTTAATTTTGATTTTTAAAAGCAAACAATTCTCTTACTATAACGGCCATTAATACCCAATGGAGAATGGTTACTGTACAAATTTTCTAACGTTTTCAAATTTGGTTTAATTTTAGTCTACATTGTTTTCAATCTCTGTATAGAAGGAAAGAGTGGGAATCATACGCCGGCCAAGCTCCTTAAACGATCTTGACCGGACTCATGAAGCAAGAGAAATTGAATTTCTTCGCCTACAACTTATTGAACAGCAAAGCATCATTGATGATCTCAGCAAGGTAATGCACTATTTCCTTCTGTTAACAGGTAGGGTGGTCCTAGCTGGACAAGCCACAGAAAAGCTTGCCAGACAACAATATTAATGGCAAGCTATGTTGATTTAGCTGGTTAGACTCTAGCAACAACAACAACAATGCGCACTTATATAGCGCTCTCCACACAGGGTAGTGTCTCAGAGCGATTAACATTGGCGGAGTGTGACTCCAAGCCGGTGGGGGCGGCGGGGGGAAGAGTAGGGTGGGGAGAGGTGGCTGTAAACACAGTCGAAGAGGAAGGTTTTCAGGTGGGACTTGAAAAAGGGGAGAGAGAGGGCAAGGCGGAGGGAATGAGGGAGAGTTCCAGAGTTGACCCCAGTTCCCCAACAGACACTCTGCCTCCTTGGCTTAGCTCCTGTAGCAAATTAGGTCAGGATGCATCCCTCCGGGGAGAGAGTTTGTATTCCATTCCAACAATCTACCTCTGGAATTGTGTAGGTGGGATGCATGGAATTCTCATCTTGGTTTGGATACCCTTAAACATCGTAATAGATTTCCACATGTGTCAGACACCTGGCTGANCCCCCCAAAAAAGCTTACAAACTTGAAAAAGTTCAATTTCAGCCTAACAAAGGCTAACATGACACAGAGACACAGACACAAGATAAAATGAGGCTCGTTGTTTATTACTTTTTGGAATACAACTTCAATCTTTTAACTGTTGGAATGTATCACAACAAAACACAATAAGCATTTAACCAGTCTATTAAAGTATGATGCTTCCCCAAGTTTCTAATTGAATATTTGCAACCAATCTTTTGTCCAATTCCAGTTGTATGCTTTGTGATTCTTACATCAATTCTTTACTTTTATCAGGCATTGGAGACAGCTGGCTATGTCAAGAGTGTTATTGTAAGTATTGCAATCCAGATTTGATTTGCCTGAAAAGAAGTTAGAAGTGCACATCATCATATTGATGTTGCAGCTTCTGACAGATTAGCTATCCAGGGAAATGCTCTTAATGTGGAAAGTATACACAAAGGTATTTTGGGAGGACCGTGCACACAAGCTGAAAGTTGCCCTGTATTCTCACAGGCAACTATCCAAATCGTGTAGCTTCAAATTTGGGAGAGCGTGACCTTTCAGCTATTATGTACCATCCAGAATTTCCTGTTAATGCCAATTTTGCCTCTGTGTCCAAGGCCACTTGCAGAATTTGATCATCCACTATGCAATTACTATTGATCTATTCAGCTGCTACACTGAAAGTCCAAAAAAGTTCAATATCTTCTAAATCACTTCAAAGCACTTAAAGCATCATGCTACATATCTGACCATCATTTGGCCTATAACCAAGAAGCAATACTTTAGAAGCAATAATAAGTAAGAGCTTTGCCCACATGACAAGTTAATTGGAGCAGTCTAGGCAAGGAAATTACCACCGGACACTGGCACCTTGATCCAAATAATCTGACCTCTGGGTTGAAACAAAATGAATCTTGTTAAGTGCAGTTTGGCGCTACATCATATCCAAGAAACTACCCATTGAGATTCAATTAGAGAGTGATTTAATGAAAGGTGGGTTGGACCATCAACAAGCAAGTAATACTGTAAGAGAGAAATATTAACACACTAGGTCCCTATACAACAACATTCTATCATCAGCTCAGCAGAAGATCAAATCAAAGTTCAGCCCCAAATTAAATGACTCTCACAAGGACTGATGGAAGGGTAGTAAAAATTTGTTTCTAATTGTGAATGTAAGCCCAGTATTTTACCATGAAAATGATGAGTAAAATGCTACCCTATTATTTGCTGAAAGGTCAACTGCAATCCAGAATCAGATATCAAGTTCCCACAAAGAGTAACAACTCCACCATACCTATTCTCTACCTAATTCCAAAAAAAAAGTGTGCCAAATGGAAAGAATATGCACAAAAGCCATATCAAACAAACTGTTTACTTCTTTGGCTCTTCCTATTTAATTAGCATGATCCTATCTGAATTATCATGCTTATCCACAAAAAATAATCAAATTCATACCTTTAATAAGAACAGAGCAGTGTTCCTGCTTCCAACTGTGTCAAAACTGATGGAAATCAAAGCGAATGAGAAGCTGATGCAATATTTCAGAAGATCTGCTATCTAATTGCTAATTTGGCTTTGGAGCAAATCAAGTGTTTTGTGACATACTCAAATAGACTCTCTCATTATCTAGAACCCGAGTAATTATAACGCAATGGGTTCAGCATTTCTGCAAACATAAGCTTAGCAAATTGATCACTGTTGAATTGCAAGACAGTTAATAAATCTGAATCTTTGTGATATCTAATCTTCCTTCCTTAATACCAAAGCCATTTTACTTTACAACACAACATTTTGCAAATATTTTAATTCTGAAAGCCTCTCATGTGTTTATATAATAGGATCGGGACAAGCTTCTGCATTACAGAAAACCAAAGAAAAAAGTTACAAAGCCCAGCAAGGTAAATCCAAAAGCAGCAGTTTACTTTGTAATGGATGTAATTATGATTCAACCCACACAAAAAGCAATCGTGAGCAACTTAGTTAAATTTACAAGACAAACTTAAAAATAAATTCTTGGGCTTCTTAGACAAATATATTAAGAAGCAAAATATATCCATTAAAACATAATCCTGACATCTGTTTCAATTACATTTGAATTACACTTTAACTTTAAAATGCCATAATTTTGAGAGTAAAATGCATGGTCCTTTTTTGCTTGATAAAAAGTGGTATTGATCATTAATATTTTATCTTTACAATATACAATCCTATTCGTCAAATGAGGAATGTTGAAAGAGTAGATCTTTTTAGATGAAAACAATAAAATGGTCAGATAGGTAAATATGGGAGCAATGTATTTAGTTCAATTGGAAAATAATATTGTTTTTTAAAAAATGCTGCTACGGTTAATAATTCATTTGATGGTGTTACAACAATCTTACATTTTCCAGTGCTACTTGTAGTAAATAAAGAATCAGACATATTCATAAGACCACAGTCAAGCTGGATCATGGCTGCTCACCTTGGAAAAAATATAAAAATTGTAGGGCAATCTATAACTCAATTCTAAAGTTGTTGAACCATAAAGTCCTACGTTAAACATAATGGTATTCACAAACATTCACAAGTATAACTAGGAGATGATTTGGTCCAAGTGTTTGCAGTATTCTATACCAAGGAGGATCTCAGGAGAAGAGCAAGATTCCCCTAGATGTACTGAAAAAAAATCACTCCAGGCAGTTGTCCTTAACGTTGTAGTAGAAAATTATCTTAATTCAAATATTTTAAATAGAAATTTCAGGGTCATTATCTGCAACAGCGTTTTTGTTTCCTTGAAATTTGAATTTGCAAAGGCTTTATGGATACTCTCTCTTAGACATATTTACATATATTCATCTTATTTTGATACTCACAGAAACCAGTTGTGGAGACATTTTTTGGATATGATGAAGAAACCTCGGTTGATTCTGATGGTTCGTCAATTTCGTACCAAACTGACAGGACCCCGTGCACCCCCGACGATGATCTGGATGAGGTGAAAGAAAAAACAATAGCATTCAGAAAACAGTGGTTTTCTGGTATAATTTTACGCGATTCAATTAGGATGTCTTTTAAAATATTTCAATCGCCATTGAGATGGACAGTGTGTATTTAAGCTTACATTATAGACTTTGGATTTATTGTACATTTATTGGCATAGCTTATTAAGAGATAAGAGAGTATTGGATGAAGAAGGCCTTTTGGTCCATTTTATCTCATTTTTACAGAACAGCTATCCTACTATTTTCCCATTGTGGCATCAAGCTGTTTCTTAAATGATTCATCTCTGCCAGCCTCAAGTCACTCTTCTGAGTAACCTTTTACAATATTGTATTAAATCTGTGTTCGGAAAAATACAGTTAAACTGTAGGTGAGATTCTGTACTTTAACTGAGCTGGTAGAATGTATTCACTGGTTCCTCTATTTAGGGAATGGCGAAAGAGGAGACTGAACTGCGATTTCGCCAGTTGACCATGGAGTACCAGGCCTTACAAAGGGCATATGCTTTGCTACAGGAGCAAGTTGGCGGAACCTTAGATGCTGAACGAGAAGTCAAGGTATGGTTAGAAATAATCCCTTTATAATCACAATGAAGGAAAGATGTCCTTTACCACTCTTTTCTATTCTCTTTAAATCAAATATCAATTACTGCATTTTGAATATCACACAAACTAGCATAGCATAAACTCTAAATCTATGTCAGTGGTGTTATTTGAAACTTAGAAAATTGCGTTACAGATTTGGTTCAATCGTCAGAATTACTATATTACATTTTTTCATCTGACCGTTTTACCTAAAAGACGAAAATGAACGGGTTTTGGTGAAATCTGTTTCTTTCGATAATCACGAAAGCTTTCTAAACGTTTTCATTGTTTGGGCTTTTAGTTATTTATCTTGCCACAACTTCTTAGTGCTGCTCTTGTCAGTAAGACCAATAAAGCAATTCTCTAGGGGGAACATTTACTCCTATAGTCCAGAATGACAGCTTGGAGGTAAAAAGCTAATTGAAGGGAGAAACATTATTTACTTTTATTTTTCCTCCCTGCATTTTAGACTCGTGAACAGCTACAAGTAGAAAACCATAGATATCAAACCAAGATTGAAGATTTGGAGAAGGCTCTTGCAGAACAGGGCCAGGTAATAATTACATGTGTAACATACATCAGGCTCCAAAGACTCAAGGTGTGGAGAATCAATCTTGTTCTGGTGCAATAATGTTATCAGTAGTAGTGGGGCAATAACTTATCTAAGATTTGCATTAAAGATAGACTTGGGCACATTCAAGCACAGGACAATGATAATCTTCAGCGGTCAAGCCCTTCAACACATTCAGAACCATTTTTCAGCCTATGTTCTTTAAAATGGAGAATATAAAGCTAAAAATACAGAAGAAAGTAACTCTATTAATTATCGACATCCATCTGGGCAGCAACCTCTCTATATCCAGCTAACGTTGTCTCCTATTGCCTCCAGCACTAATTGATTATTTGATTATTTGTTGGAGCATTTGATCTTTAGAATGGAAGTAATGCTGGATTTTTGATTGATATCATCTTGATGTGACATTGGCCAGATTTTTCTATGTTATTAAATTACCCGCAGTGCAATAATGAGTATCAGGTATGAGCAATGTCCAGATACAGATAGTAATAATTTACAATCCACCTGGGCATAATAGGGTGGAATTACAAACTCTTAACTGATTTGAGGCCAGGGTAATCAAGACAAATGTGTTTATCACATTACCAGCTATATTGTTTTTAGAAAAAAAAGAAAAGCTGTTCCCTTGACCGTATTATAATTACAATTTTTGCTCAATGATCAATAATCTAATTCTGACTCTCTCAGAGGCCAGTAAAAATGGGAAGAGTACATGTGAAGGTGGACAAGGGAAGATGAGAGGATCAAGACAAGAAAATGGATCAGGAAGCTAGGACATGCAACAGAAAGCAAAGAGAAATCAGGAATAATGGAACAATCCATTGTAAATGTTATATTTTGATGCTTGAAAGCAGTACACAAACAGTCTATAATTACATAGAAATGTGGTTGTAAACCACTCTATTAAGTAATATTTATGTGAAGATCAGATTAAAGCTTTTCAAGACTTCATTCTCATTTGCTTTTTTAGGACATGAAGTGGATTGAGGAGAAACAAGCATTATATCATCGGAATCAAGAGCTACTAGAAAAGGTAATGATTCTCAGACAATTGAGGGTAAATAGAACTTAAAGACATCATATTACCACTATTTTTTTTATTTAGGATTTTCCAGTTTTCTGACACCATCATTCAAATTTCAAAGTAACCCTATTAAAACAGCAGAATAAACATCAAAGGCCAAACTTTATGTTTCATTTTACAGATCCAACAAACGCAGAATGAAGAAAACCGCCTTAGACATGACGTACAGGACGTCAAAGATCAAAATGAGCTTTTGGAATTTCGTATTTTGGAACTTGAAGTAAGATAAAGCTGGAAATCCCAATTCATTTCTATTTATAGTAATTCTATTCTAATCCAGATTTTCTGGAAATCGGAGACTAATAAGCAGTGATTTATAAGGATTCCTTCTGGTACCTGTTAGTAATTTATGCAGGTATCAGCAACGTAGGGAATCTCTGCTCTGAATGTAAATTCTGCAGAAACAAAGTTCCAGTGGGAAATCGCTGCATAATACTCATATTGTACACTTTAAATATATACAATACAGATTGTTAATGTGCACAATGGGGACTTATTTGCAATATTTCTTAACAGTAAGCAATCAAAGTTATAAAAACGATACTTCTTCTGACAACTAGTCATAGAGCCAAAGAGAACTTTATTCCAAAGCAATCTATGTTTGCAACCAGTGGATGGGTGGGAATTTCTAATAGGATTCCTTATTAAGGAACGTCATTAAGAAATAGCAAAGATTAATGTGCAAATAAGTAAAAAGCTTCAGTCCTTTTTTCTAAAATCAATCGCTTTTATTTCAGGAGCGTGAACGACGATCACCGGCCATAAATTTTCATCACATTCCATTCCCAGAGGGTGTGAGTCCTCTTCAAGTCTACTGTGAGGCAGAAGGTGTAACAGTAAGTGATTGTCCATAACTCCAAGTTTCATAAAGGGCACAGTGTATTACTTACTTGTGTTTAATTATGTTCATTAAACGGTAACTTTCAAACCTTTACCCCCTTTCCGATTTGTCAGGACATTTCAGTAGCAGATCTCATGAAAAAGCTGGATATTTTAGGAGATAACGCCGTAAGTGTATGTTGCTTTTCTAATCATGCATGTATCTGTTCTGTTTGTAAAGCTGTCACTATGTAACCTCAGGGTAAATCTCAAACTAGTACCAATACTGTATATTCTGTTGGACTTCTAATATTTATTTGTAGCATAATCGTTAATTTGCTATAGCCGCACTTCAGGCCGATCCCATTAATTGCTCGTGCAAATACATGCAAGCAAAACAATAGCCAGGAGCTAGGTCACCACTGACGTCACTTCCTGCATGCTATGCGCAAGAAATACCACTATATTTAGGCCTATTGTAACCACATCCTGGATGAGAGCTAACTTTCTTCAGTTGACCGTCAATAAGACCGAGGCTCTCCTGATTGTCTCCCAGCAACACCTCCACACCTCAGGCCCTGACAGCATCACCATCCAAGGATGCACACTCCACCTCACTGAGTCAGTCCGGAACCTTGGCACCTTGTTTGACTCTCAACTATCCTTTCTACCCCACATCTGTGCCATGATCCACTCTGCCTTCCCCCACCTCCACAACATCCCCCGGCTCCACCACCGTCTCACACCACAGGCCGCCGAGACCCTCATACACGCTTTCATAACATCCAGGCTTGACTATTGCAAACTCCCTGCTTGTGGGCATCCCCAACTGTTCCCTCCATATGCTGCAGATCATCCAGAACTCTGCAGACAGTGTCCTCTCCCACACCAAGCTGAGCAACCCTCTCACCCCCACCCTTGTCCGACTCCACTGGCTTCCCATCACACAGAGGATACAGTTCAAGATCCTGGTCCTGAGCTTCAAAGCCATTCATGGTTTTGCTCCCCCTACTTCTGCGACCTAATAACCCCCTACCAATCTGCTCTCTAATTCCGCTCAGCAGGCTCCGGCCTGCTTCACGTACCCCACCTCGCCCGCCCCACCATTGGCGGGTGGGCCTTTGGACACTCTTTTGCATCAATTTCCAAAAGTGTTATGCTATATTGTTCCCGTTTAGAAAAGAATACAATGAATTTCAAAACGGGTTCATTTTCGACACTCATCTCTGCTGCCTTGACCAATCTAAAACTTTTTTTGCCTCTCATTAAGTATTTTACAAACTCGTGCACTTTTCAGATATCTCTATTGATGAGCTGTAGCTTTCATAGTAGCTCAACTATCTAAAACTGGGGACCAGTCTTAATACTGTACTTTCCATTACCTCTTGGGCTGAGATAATCACCTGTACACAGTGGCCAGGTGTGCCCTGGTCAGAGCACTGTACAGTTTGAAGGTGACTTCTGGGGATCTGTGCACAACCTCTTTGGCAATGTAGATTAGGATCCTGTTTGCTCTATTTATTGCTGCTTCACACAGTTTGGGCTTGGAGAATCAATAACCTTAAAACTAACAAGTGTAGCCATTTGTAATTTCCGAGTTTACGCAGTGAAGGTCAACAATCTATTCAGCCATGGAGAACACACAATCTTATCCTTGTCTGGTCTTCATACATTAGGCATGTCCAACATGGATCACTGGAACATTTCCTCCCCACTGTATTCCAGGGTTGGTTAGGTCAATAATGTGCCCTTCCCATCCACCACTCTGACTGAAATTAATTAACTCAGCATAAGAATACGATCAAACCGGAAACCATCCTGGTATTTATGGCTTGGTATTGGAACAGGCGGTGCAGGATATCAGGATGGTTTCCAGTTTGATCATATTCCCATGCTGAGTTAGTTCCAGTTCCAAGTTCAGACATGACAAATTTGAGTCAACAACAACAACTTGGATTTATATAGCGCCCTCCACGCCGGAAAGCGTCTCAGAGCGCTTCACAGTGACGGATCCCGGGGCCAAGCCAGGGGGAGCGGGGGGAAGGTGACCAAAGGCCGATTAAAAAGAAAGGTCTTCAGCAGAGACCTGAAAATAGGAAGAGAAGGGGTGAGACAAAGGGAGTGAGGAAGGGAGTTCCAGAGCCTCGGGCATAGTGGCTGAAGGCACGGCCACCGAGGATGGAGCGGGTGAAGTACAGTTGAAGGTGGGTGGTAGCCATCTATTGTTGTCTCAACAGGAGAGGGGGTAAAATTAGGATTAAAATAAACAGCACTGTGATGTTCAAAAAGATGAAGGAAATAGTGAAATACATTTAATTGAAACTTATTTTATTTACTTAATAGAACTTGACCAATGAGGAGCAAGTGGTTGTTATTCAGGCCCGAACAGTGTTAACCCTGGCAGAAAAGGTAACAATATTATCTTTCATGATGTAAGTTACTATACAAACCCATTTGAGGCAAGCCCTTATGGATATTCAAAGAGCAAACCATGTTTTGAAGGCAGATTGATCGTGGAGCCCTGTACTTGGGCAGTTTAAATATTAAAAAGAAATGAGTGTTAATTGTTGAATTCTAATTAAATTTCTTTGATTTTCCTTCAACCTGTAGTGGCTCCAACAAATTGAAGTGACAGAATCTGCACTGCAGCAAAAAATGAATGATCTGGAAAATGAAAAGGTACCCGCAAGAAACATCAACAATATCGAAACTGATGTGTTCATTGTTCATTTCCCATTTATCATTGATCCTTCTGTTTTCAGGAACTCTTCAGTAAACAGAAGGGTTACTTGGATGAAGAGTTAGACTACAGGAAACAGGCCATGGATCAAGCTCACAAGGTAAAATTCCTTTTTCTGATGATGTTCCCTTTTTGATACAATTCATATTTGTATAATGCCTTTCACATCAGGAGACATCTAGAAGCACTTTACTGTGGAGTCCTGTAGCTCAGTGGTTAGAGCACTCGCTTTGCAAGCGAGAGACCTGAGTTCAATTCCAGGCAGGGCGAAACCTTGGGTAAGTTTCCTAACTCCACACGCCTAATAATAATCCCTCAAAAAAAAACAATAATAAATTGGTCATTTTCAATCCATGACTGTTTGTGGGACACAGCTGTGTGCAATTGGCTGCCGCGTTCGCCCACAAATATAGTCAATTCACTTTACAGTATATTCTGTGAAGCGCTTTGGGACGTCCTCCCGACGTGAAAAGCGCTATATCAAATGCAAGGATTATTATTATTATTACTGGCTAGGCATCCAAATCAGGAGTGGAGGAGAGTCAGAACCGAAAAGGGTAGGGAGGGGAAAGATGATTGAAAGTGCAATCAAAGAGGTAAATGTTGAGACAGATTTTGCAAGTGAGGAGGGAGGGGGCGAGATGGACTAAATGGCTGAAAGCCAGTCTTAAATTTATTTGTTAAAAACATGTCCTATCTCATGAAAAACTTGTGAATGGGTGCCTGAATAAAATGGATTCAAAAAACAAACCAATGTGACTTTGAACTGATGTGCTTTATATAAGATTCCATATATTTAACTTTATAATGACTCTTAAAAATCTTTCGCTTTGAGTTCTTTAATCAGGCTTTTTTTTAAGATAACATTTCCCAACATTAGATTGAAGAAAAAAAACTCAGAAACCTGTAGGTTGTAAGATGCAATAAACAAGAACATTTTGAAGGTTAATTTTTATGACAGCGGATTTTGGAGCTGGAAGCCATGCTCTATGATGCCTTGCAACAAGAAGCTGGTGCAAAGATGACTGAACTTCTATCTGAAGAGGAGAGGGAGAAGCTGAAAGTGGCAGTGGAACAGTGGAAGCGGCAGGTGCTGAGTGAACTCCGAGAACGTGATGCTCAAATAATGAGAGAGAGAAAGGAACTGGTTCACCATGCACATCAGGTGAAAGATTGTTACCCTTAATGCATTACAACAATAACAACAACAACAATTTGCATTTATACAGCACCCCTCACGCAGGGCAGTGTCACAGAGGGCTTGTCAGGCATTTGTCCAGAGTACCATAGCTCTCAATTTAGTAACCTACTTCAATACTCTTATTAATTCCTTACCAGACAAAAGGATCTTGTCTCAAACAAGATAAATTTAGCATTGGGCATTAGTTTAATACTTGTGGCATGGATATTGAAAAGGCTAGAATATATTTTATTTTGGGTCACTAAAACACAATTATCATGTTCCAAACCTTTCACTCCAAGGCTGCCTAACTACAAGCAGCAATGATTCTCTTCTCTGAGCCAAATCAACAATTTTCCTGAAATATTAGAAATAAGGACATCAGCAATTGGAGTTCACAGGTCTCAGTGAATGCCCAGAAGACCTAGGCATATTCCCCACAGTTTCAGCAAACTTACAATAACTGCTATATGCACCCAAGTACCTGTAT